GCCCATGTCCATGCCCGTTCCAAATTTTTGTGCCCATACCCATGCCCGTGCCAAATTTTTGTGCCCATACCCATGCCTATGCCAAATTCTTATACCCATGCCCATGGCAAATTCTTATGCCCATGCCCATGCCTATGCCTGAATCTCATGCCCATGCCTGTGCCTTTTGTTGGGCATGGGCACGAGCCTGGTTTGCAGACCCCTAATATATATATATTTCTATATTTGACAATATTCTCTACATCTCTTACATTGTCCTACTTTTAAAGCAGGTGCTGGGTTCTTTCAATTTTTAGTGTAAATGCCGTAGATCTAAATAATTATCACCAAAAAATTGAAAAAAAATCATTAATGATAAATTAATATTGTTAATTACGTTAAGATTGAAAAGATCAATATTAAAAATAAACGAGACAATATTATACGTAACAAGTTTTTATATGATATCATACATAGTTTTGAGTTACAACAGACTACCCTAACGTAACGTATCATAATCCATTTTAGCATTTATCGTATATACGATTCATTTTAATGATTCTGGCAAAATTTGCCAACAGCCATTTCACCGACAATATTCATCTAGCAGTTGTCGGTATACCTATTTTAATTATGTTATAATCTCTAGGCGATATTGTTAAGGATGACACTACATCTTTAGATTTTTATAAAAGGTGTAAATTATTTCTTTTATTTTTGCATTTCTGCATTAGATTTGACTTATTATCAAGCTCACTTAAGATGATGCTTAAATTTTATTTTATTTTTATCATCACATTAATCCTTATTACAACTTTTGCTCAAAGTAAATATTTTTAGCTATATGTTAAATATGAATATCCGTTAGCTTTATGATTTAATTGTGTCAGTAAACGCTAAGTTTCTATAGCTATTAGAAACTGGCTTATCAAAAAAATATACGTATTTAAAGCACGTGTTTACTGCGCAAATTAGCTACATAGCAACCGATATCAGACTCATACATTCAGGGTTGTAAAATTACGGTAATTTATTGTAAGTTACCAAAATGGTAAGTTACTGGTAAGTTACTGTAAGTTACCGTGAAAGTAATCTATGCTTTATTCCGAAAGTATCCGTGCTTCATGTCCGTTAATTGCCTACTATTACGAAATTTTCTGATAATTTACGGACTTTCAAATGTGTATTTGGTATCCTACCATGGTAACTTACCGTAATTTACCGGTAACTTACCACGGTAAGTTTACCACTAACAACCCTGCATACATTCAGCTTTAATTATATCTTATTACTTTAATGCTAACTAATTTTTAAATTTAACAAATACGTATTCTTTAAATATTATAGGCCGTAAGTAAATTTTTATTAATTTATAAACATGCTATTCTTTATTTATAATTAAAGTCATAATTAAAAATAGTAATTATTGTTTGGTAAATTTCCAGTATGTAAGTGTGAAAAGATTGGTTTAATAATTAACAAATAATTTGGGCTTAATTTATTTAAAAACAAAATCTTTTTAATCTTTCTATAATCGCCAGTATGTAAGTATTATTAGATTTTGTAAATTCATTTCTCGTAGCTCTTATCGGACAGAGAAATAAAAGACGGAGCTGAATTACATTTATTTTCATAATAAACATTTTTTAAACAAAAGTGGATCGAGCGATTGAAAGACACAGAACGGCAAGATTGGCCCGTCAAAGAAGGACACTAGATGGTAATAGTGATAAACGTTCAGCATTTTAAAAAGATTATTGTTTTTATGATGTATTTCATAAAAGGTAAACTTATATAAGTTATTTATTAAAGTGAGTTTGTTAATGCTAACCTATTAAATTGTATCTAGAATTCATGATAATGTATATATAAATCCCCGAAGTACTCCGATCGAAAAAAATCCAAGTATAACATTTCCACATTTATACGTAATTTAATCACATACAGTAATTGTAAAAAGGTTAATTTTATGACTTTCTTCTATTAGAAATATGCATCGTTGGTGCTAGAATGACTGGTGCGTTTTTAAATCAATATATATATATCATTACTACATTAACGCATTTAATGAATATAATCCAATATGTGTATTATTAGGCATGTTTTCGTCTTTACTTTTGAAAAAAGCCGGTATAAATGATATAACAATTCTTGAATATCAGGATCGTGTTGGTGGACGTGTTCATACACAATATTTTACTGATAATCCTGATGACGAAAGACGTTTATATGGCGAACTTGGTGCGATGAGATTACCTTATATCAAAGGTCGGCCAGATCTTAGTCAACAACAAATAGTCTTTGATACAATTGATTATATAAATGAATATAATAAGAAAGATAACCCAGATAGAGAGATCAAGCTTATTCTTTTTATTTTTAGTAATCCAAAGTTAGTAAATATTTATTAAACTATACTATAAATATATGTTATTTAATTAATGATTTATATATATATATATTAATCCTAACGCCTATATAAACGTTCATACAAAGTGCTTTATATTATTTCAACAATAAAAAAGCTCCATCCGGTGAAATTATGACTAATAATTACTCAGAAAGCGCTGGAATAAAACAATTAGGATTACCTGATGTAATTCCAGATAATTATCTTAAACTTTGGAATGATTCATTACAACCTTTTTTTGACGAATTGGATAAAAATTTTACAAATGGTCTCATAAATTTAAAACGTTATGATCATTATTCTGCTTATTCTTATTTAAAAGAAGTTTATCTTCCCAAAGCATTACCTTCAAAATCGGCTTACTATGATGAAATTATTAATGCTATTGAAGTGCAAGAATTAGGCACAGGTATGTAATTGTTCTTTTTAGCTGTTTATATGACTATTAACTAACTATATTTTTAAATATAATGTATACATATTATAAGGTGATTTTCGTCATTCTAGTTTTGTTAGTGTTGTCATTGAAATGTATACCTTTAGCGACACTAATTATGACATAAGCTGGAGTACCATCGATAAAGGAATGCAACGGTTACCTAATGCTTTCTTGCCAATGATTAAAAAAGAAAATATTAATTTAAAATATAGTAGTGAAGTTTATAAATTAAAAAAATCAAATGATAGTAAAATTGAAGTATTTTGGAAAAGTAATGAACAAGTGTCTCCGAAATTTTTGATCGAGTAATTGTCACTGTTCCATTAGGTGTCGTCCGTCATTGGGATTTACCTTTAAGTAAGTGCATACTGTATTATAGAACTACAACCGAAATTAAATATATATATATATTTATTATAATCTTTATCATTTAATAGCATTATCATATGGAAAACGAAGTGCAATACGTGAAATAGATTATTCACTTTCTGGAAAAATATTACTCCAATTCAAATCACGATTTTGGGAAAACCCTCCCTCTGAAACTGGTGCTAATCCTACAACTTCCAACATTGGAATTATTGGTGGTATCACTTACACTGACCTTCCTATTCGTGAAGCGGTCTATCCTTCGTATTATCAAGGAATATCTGCCGATAAACCTGGTGTCCTTTTAGAATCTTACACATGGGTAACGATGCTACAAAATTTGCGCAATTTAGTGAGGAAGAACGGTTTGAACTCGCATTAAAAGATTTAGCAACTATTCATGGTGACATTGTATATAAAGAATGGATTCCAGGTAAAAAGAATAATAAGGCAAAGTACTGGCCTAATGATAAAACTACTGGAGGTGCTTTTGCCGAGTTTGGTGTCTCACAAGTAGAATCTTTAATGGGTGCCGTTATGAGACCGGAAGAATCTATTCATTGGGGTGGGGAACATACTGACATACATTGGGGTTGGATTGCTGGCGCATTAAATTCTGGAGTTAGGGTAGTTAGAGAAATATTACTTGAAAATTTAATGAGTGATAAATGGTCCGAATTGAAGAATATGAGATTATTAAAATATTGGAATGGAAATCTCGATGCGTATGGAGGTTATTACTATTAGCTAGAATAATAATGAAAAATAAGAATCGTCAAACGTTAAGGTTAAGGTTAGTGTTTATATTAAGATTCGGGAAGAGTTTGCATTTTTTATTTGAAGATAACATTAGTCAATTTTTGAAATAATGTATGCAAAGGTGTAAATACGCACAATAAATGCGCTTAAATCTGAAGTTTTATTTAAATAATATTAATATAGATTATATTGTTACAGTATTACTACGCTTTTTCATTATTTGCTCTTATAATATTAGACTTTATTAAGTGGGCTTATTGAGACTTACATACATTTCAAAAAATTTATAGAATGCTGTATTGTTTTTGTGAGGCTACGATGTTAGGCTCACATAACTTAATGCGTAAATAAGCAATAATTATTTCGAATATTACAAAGCATAATGGGTTGCATAAAAATTTTGTAAAATATTCAAGTAAACATAAAATATTTTTACACTATTTCATACGGTATAATACAATTACAGTAATAAAAAAATACATATATGGCTTCAATATGGAGCCTTTAATAACGATAAGAGAAGTACTTTATATGCAAACATTCCGAGTAAAATCAGGTAATTTAGCCTCTGTTCCGCTCGGATCTTTACAAACAAATTCTTTAGTACTACTCGTGTATGTACAAGTATAATCAGTACATTGATCTTGATCTTGATGTCTTTCGATTAATTTAATGATCGGATCGGCCAAAATAAAGCCGGTTAGAGGCTCTCTTTCTGTCAATTGATTAATCGGATTCGCCGAAATAACATTGACAAAAATAAAGGTTAAGAAAAGTAGAACAAAATTAAATTTCATTTTTTCCTCTATTTGATAAAATTTCAATGGTTATTAATATTAAAGTACTTTAAAGTTCATACACTTTAAAGGAATCTAATACAATGCCAACTTACATTCACTTTTTTTTTCCACAATAGAAAAGCTTAGCGAACGGGAGGGACCCATTTATATATAAAATTTTAATTATCGAGATATTCTATACTAAATATAGTCATAAATATATAATTACGCCTTAGTAGCGTAGTTTAATGAGAAAATTTGGTCTAAATTAATTTTTACCTATTTCGATCGTCTGATTCTTATGTATAGATTACAGCATAATCCAGGAGAAATCTTATTGTATTCTGCTTTACCAAAAAGTCTACTTACGCCTAACTAAACAATTTAAAATCGACGGTTAGTCCATATAAAGTTAATTTCTTGATTTTATAATCCAACCAGGTCATTCTTTGTACGCATTTTGGAAAGCTGTGAAGTAAAAAAAAAAAAATTAGGGGTATAACTAATAATGATTGAGCAATAATGACTTAATCCCATGGTACTTTAAGTATCGTCATGAAAGCCAAAGATTATTCTCTCATCCTTCAATAATAATTGTCTTCTATTTTTCCACAGCTCATATTGGTTAATCAGACATTGGTAAATATCGTCAGGATGACAAAATTTCGGAATCAGAGATCGCCATTGTTATTATATCTAAAGGTGATGGCGCAAAGAGGATCATATAATTTTTCATTTAATTTCCAGCAATCCGTTATGTGTTAAGTAGCTCTCATAAGGTTTAAGCTTAAATTTGCGTATTTTTTTTTTGTCTGGTCGTTTATTTAAAGGTGATCTACAGTAATTACGTCATTTTATGTTACATAATTATTACCGTAAAATCCGGACACGTGTACCCTGTGTGATGTAATTTTTCATTTAGTGTAAATTAAATATCACGTATATGATACAGTTGTTACATCACATGTACATATAAATAGTACTTTAAAAAATTGATCTACATTATTTGTCACGCCGGGTACGCGTGTCCGGATTTTACAGTACTTAACGTTAAGAAGGTTGCCCAAATTAACACAAGGAATTCTTATAACTATGGCAAACTTAAGTGTAATACTGTAATATTACGTTTTAGATTAAATAAAATCAGTGTCGTCATTTAAGTATACGATAAACATAAATGACACATGATATACGTAATCTCCCAGGGTTAAGTGAATGATCAAGTCATTTGGTATTTGTTTTTGAACCAATAAAACTTTTTACGTAATATAAAGCTGATTTAAATACTTAATTTAAACCACTTTCCACTCTACCTTCTAACATAAATTATTCATAGCTAGTACAAAGTAATAAAAAAATTGTAATTTATAGCAAAACAAGAATGCAAAATTGCTTTAGAATTTGCTACATATAAGCTTCACATACTCGCCTTGCAATTTCACAATACAAAAAACTAAAAGTAGAGAAATAACTAAAGCTCGAAGGATTGGTTCATAATATTGATAATTTTTTTATTAATCAACCAGCAAAATCGAAAAAATTGTTAACAGCAATTGATCATGGGATAAGCAGTAATATGAATTTACATGTGGATTAAGTCACGTGCAGAAGTTATTATGTGACCGATATGTGATATTTAAGTCATGTGGAATAAAGATTTCGCAGAGTAGCTTCATTTAAATTATTCACTACATGATTTGCATTACTCCATTCCTGGCATGTGCGTATGATTTATCATCTTTGTTTTTTACTTTTTTGCATTATCTCTTGATACGTATTCATTTTTTACTTTTTTTACTGAACTAATGCTTGTTATCTTCTAATATCATATTGCTTTGCTATTTATTAATTTTTAAATTGATTTCAAGCACTACTGAATGATTTTATGACTCATCTTAAAATAACCTTGATATTTCACATCTTTTACTGTTTTATATTTTTTGTATCTTTTTTTATGAAAGTAAACAATCTATGTCCTTGAGTCCTTTCAATTTTAAATTGAGTTAATAATTTCAGACAAACTATAAATTTAATAATCTGATAGCTTACTATAATAATGCTTACCAAATAACTCAAGTATTGGTTGCTTCTCATCTATTATGCTTATTGCTCTTTACCTTTATTCTGTGATATTGTAAGTCAAACTTGATATAAAGCTAGAGTTTTACTATTAAGGCTAAAAGAGTTTATAAATGTGAATTTCTTTAATCTAGGCTAGTGATACGGGTCAATGAAAAAATCATGGGCTGGATCAATTCAAAAAAAGCTCAGGCCAGTCAACTGAGCCGAACTTTATTGCTAATAAAAATTTTCTAATAAGAATTAGTCTCGATATTTATATTAAACGTGTAGAAAGCCATCAGGTAGTTTCTTGCCAAATTCGAGTATACTAAAATCATTTGTTTTGTCTTTAATTATAATTAATATATTAGTATTTTATATTGATTAATTGTCTCTGCATCTGATATGTTAGTCATTTCCATTTCCTATACAGTATTATAATTTATCACCTAAGTTAGCCAACTAATAAATGTCTACATTTTTATTAATAATTAGCTGATTTTTAGCCAATATTTTAGCCAGTATAAGAGAATAGATTTTAGCACTTCTTTTATCAACTGGCCCTGCCTACAAAGATGTAAGCTGAGGGTCAACCTGCCTATTGGCCTGTCCATTAGGCTGGGGCCAACCTGTATCACTAATCTAGGCCTATTGAAATCTTTTATAAGCTAATTCAATGACATAAGCTAATCAAATCTAATATCTTAATATGTATTTTAGCAACTTCTAATTGTTATAATTTAAACATTATATTTTAAATTTACTAGCTTTTGTAATTCTCTATAAGCAAAATATTCAAATAAAATCCTACATATTTTGGATATTCATGACTGCTTATTATTAAATCACAAGCATATCTCTGTATTTTATTTTTATATTCTTCAATAATTTTATTTTTATATTCTTCAATAATTTTATTTAAAAGTATTAAAAAAGCAAAATAATAGATAGCTTTTGTATATATTGGATATAAGTAAACTTACATAAGTTGGTTAATAAAATTATTAGATTTTTCTATGTAAATAAAATTTTGTAAGCTTTATATAAAAATTTTAAATTAGCAAAAAGCTATTATGATTTTTTAGTGTTGTATCAAATTGATAAATATCTTTAACATATTACTATCTAGCAAAAATTGATAAGAATATTTTTTTTACAATTATGAACAGGTAATATATTGTTTTATATAATTGAATAAAATTTTATAATTTATCCAGAGAACAGTATCCAAAATTATTATAAGCAAACAAAATAATCTGGTTCAGTTTTCTTGGCAACACTAGTGTTGTTATTAAAAATGCTGATAAATAAATCAAAGTGGTAAAATTAGTTTTGAATAGTTGAAATTAATTTACCAGCATCTCTAGTTGTTATAGAATATTAAAATAACCTTGTCAAAAATCCATAGTATTAATGAAACAAACAAATTTGTAAGACCACAAATAATTAAGCGATTTCTCAATAGAATTGATATATAGGGTATTAGTATAATGCAAATAGAATACTCATTTCTAACTTTCTTTAAACAATTCAAGCACCTATTATATAATATAATAAAATTTAATAAATTTCTGTTTTGTATATTTTTTAACATTATCTTCAATGAACATTTATCTGTATCTTGTCTTTTATTAATTTGCCACCCTTTGAAGTTTCATCAGTTTTATCATCTTTTATCAGTTTCATTTAAGATTTTAATTAATGAAAAAAAAACTAGATTTCATTTAACAACTATACAATTCTTTTATGTAAATAAAATTAGTAATATTCCAGATGATTTTAACCCATAAATTACTTTACAAAAACCTTCAATATAGCAACCTTGCATTCTAAATTATAATAATAGATTTCAACAATATGACAGTAAAAAGTCATAAAATTTCTTCAATTATAATCATGTAATTGTTAAATCCAAGAATCTTAATTTAAACCCATTTAGCAAATTTACCGATATGATTGCTAGGTATGTAAAGTTCTTCTGTTACACCAATATAAATAATTTTTTGAAAATATTAGCCACCACTAATTAAATATTGGACCCAGGTTTTATAGTACTATTTAGAAACTCGTTATAGTAACTTCTATTTATCAATGCATGTTGACAAGGGTCAACAGATCGAAAAGACAGGGAGCATAGTCAAGAGACATGTAACATATACCAAACCCAGCCTGGTTACTCAAACCAAGAATCAATCAATAAATGACATCAACGTCAGATCATATGGGGTGAGTCAATAAAAATCAAGCAAATTTTTTATAATAAAATTTTTTTATAACTTTAAACAAGAATAACTTAACAAAAACTTGATCAAATTTAATAAAAATTTTTTTAAATAATTTTTACATACTTGATCAAATTTAATAAATTTTTTTTTAAATTAATTCTACAAGTTTTTATTAAGTTATTCTTGTTTAAAATTATAAAAAACTTTACTAAAAAAAATTTGCTTGATTTCTATTGACTCAACCCTATATATTCATACAAATTAGTGCTTCGGTCAAGGGACATACGATATGTGCCCTGTTATACGCATCTAGTATCGATTGACAAATAACATCAAAGTAGAATCATAAATTCATGCAAAATCGAAAGCCACCTAATGACTAATATATAAAGGTCGTTGAAGAGAAACAATTTCACACACTCTCTCTCATAAAAACCAATTCATTTAACTTGTATTTTCTCTTCCTACTGCACTGTAGAGAACAGTATCCTGATTCTGCCATTTTCTATTTAACAGCCGGCCTGCTTTAAGCAGGCGGGAAACCACCGGCTGATGCTGCTTCTCACTCACTCTACTGTTACAATGATACCTGGTGCAATCTCACTTGCTAATCTTCTGGGAGCATATTATCGTTTCAGTTCAAATCAGTGTTTCAGCCTAAATCTCCCCCCAAAGTCCAAAACATTTCAGCCCTGGAGTTTCGGTTTCGCCCAAAATCTGAAACCTCTGAAATAGTCTAAACTTCTGAAATGGGCTAAACCTCCAAAGCCTCTGAACAGATTCCAAACTTTCTGTCTTTCAGAAAGTTCACCCAATTTTAGAGATTTCAACCAGTTTCACCCAATTTATTTTAGAGGTTTCGGCCAGTTTCACCAATTTCTAAGGTATTAGCAGTTTCGCCAGTTTAGCCCAATTTTGGAGGTTTCAGCCAGTTTTGCCTAGTATCAAATGTAACTTTATACTCATTTATGCATGTGTTTTTCACATGATCCGAAAATTTTCATATTTTATTGGCTATTTGTTTCAGAAGTATTTGAAGTCGAAGGTTTCGCCCATTTCAGAGGTTTCACCATTTCGGAGGCTTCGCCCAGTTTCAAAGGTTTTAGAAGTTTTGAATTGAGACTTTTGGCGAAACTATGTTTTAGAGATTTCGACTAGCCAAAAGTTTTGGTTTAGGCCGAAACACTGGTTCAAATTACTTAAAATTACTAATTACTTAAAATTACTACAGTACCGGACAGCAAAATGCATCCACTTTTTATTAATAAAATCTTTAAACTATTATAACTTTTTTAAAACAAGTTAAATCAAAAAACCCTTTGACAAATTAATAGATATTTAGCTAAACTACATTTTTGTCGAAGGATTTTTTATTATTCTTTGTTTTAAAGAAGTTATTAAGAGTTAAAGTTTATAATGATTTAAAAAATTGGCGTTTAATA